AACTCTAAAAGTGACCCAAATGTTGCAGGAGAAAACCCTTGGAAAACAGACTTGGACACACTGTACCTACCACCCAGATACTACAGTGAAGGAATCGAAAGCACCTCTATGCCATGTAGTAGTAAGATTCATACCAGAAGTACAGGGTGTCAGAGAAGACGGACACATTTAAAATCTGCGAAAAGTTCTAGTTTGCTGATATTTCTCGCTTATTTACAGGTTTTAATATTCTTCAAGGTTTGGAATTTTATCTGCTATGTATCAATGGGAATTTGCTCACCATACGAACATAGTGAACTTTTTTCTTGCAAAAGGCTCCATTGCGCAAGCGCAACGTGCGCTTCGACATGAGTCAGGACGACATCCCCGCCACGGTGAAGAGAGGAAGAAGATGGTTGCCACTTTCTCTGTTGTCAATGGTCATGTAGCGACAGTTTTATCGGAGGACTGAATAATAGTGAATACTGAGTGGTACATCACTGTGTCTCTGCCCAAAGTTTCCCAAAAAAATGCGAAAAAAAGACCACGCCCTGGGCTCCGGGGCCTCCCCCTGCATCACAATTCCTCTAGCAGCAAGGCAACAAGAACTGTGGTCTAACAAGAAGAAATTCTTGTTCGTCTGGTCACCCTTCCGCCTTAAAGGCCATATTAGGACCCTTGCGATGACTTTTGTTCACAAGGGTCAAAGATTCATTGCAAGGGAAGCGGTTCCCAAGTTTAGAAGATGCCGTCATTACCTGGTGAGGAAGCAGTTCCTGAGGTGGCAAAGGAGGAATGGCGTAGTTGCTCTGAGAGATGGCTTTATAGGGTGAAATGCTGTATGGAGTCTTTTGAGGAGTTCGAAAAGTTGTAGATGTTGAAATGAAATTTCATCAATTTCTCCTTGCGTATCTCAAAACTTTCTGAGTGACCTATGCATGCGGCGCTGGTAAGACTCCAGTTGGAATATTGGGAGGGGGGGGGGGAGAGAAGTGCTCAGCACCGTATCAATCACTTCTACAGAGTGGTTATAATCATTTGTGCAGTTCTTTTTGGGGACGGTGTACAACTTAACACCCTTTTGGATTTCTTTTAGAATCTCATAGCCGAGCGAAACTAAAATCTAAAATCACAAAACACTTTGTTTCGGCGTTTTGTCAACATTACGGACGCCAAAGTAACGGAAATTAAACACTATGTTTGAGTACCTGTCAAATGCAACCGCCATATTGGGGCTGCATACTCTGACTAACGTTTCATCAGCTCTTTTGGGTTTTCACTAAACCCAAGCGCACCCTAACCTCTGAGAACTAGCAATAAATATACGTACCAAGGGAGCGCATTTCTTCTATGTTGGGCCGAAAGAGTGAGAAAGTCAACCTATTTTGGAGGATGAAATCAATTGGGTTAGAACATAATCGTGGCCGAAGGCCGCGACCCTTTTCTAACCCTCTTTGGCCTTTGACACTGAACCTGGGAGAAAATATCAATAGTGGGGCTCCACCAACTGTGCCAGTGCCATGACGGGTCTCGCTGGAGTAAGGATGAAATTAGTGAAGGTGTAAAGTTCTACACCCTAACCCTGCTTTTTTCTTACAATACGCTCATCATTAAGGGAATAGACAATGTAGTGCGTGGTAGGTTCTTCCTGTTCGATGGCAGCAAGAGAACGGGAGGTAATCAACTCAAGTTGCGTAAATCGCAGGTGCAGCTCAGGCCGAGACAGGACTTCTTTACTTGTTGGGTGATGAACGCGTGGAACGCGTTAATGACGACGTAGAGGCAGCCCCTTCCGTGACTGTTTTTAAGAAGAGACTAACTGCTTTTATAGACGAAGCCCAAAGGGGGGCAATGTAAACGCTTAACTCTTTGTCTCCGGAGCTATTCGTAAATCGCTGAAAACACGTATTTCTTCTATCGAATTGGCGCTCAGATGGAATATATTTCGTTAGCAGAAGTAGTTTTAGTTTTATATTGACTGTATAAGACGTTTAAAATGTGGGATTGCTCGTGAAACGGAACAAAACTTACAAGCCAAAACTTACAAAAACTTTACAAGAACATCGGCAGCTCGTCCAAATGGGAAATCGAGCGCGCCGATATATCAGCTGCTCGGAGCCAAAGAGGGTTTAGGGTAGGCCTAATTCTCTTAAAGCTAAATATTTTGTATTTGTTGTGATTTTATTTCATATTTTTTTAGCATACCCTAGTTGCTTATTGCCTAGTTCCTTAAGTCAGCATTGCCTCCCTTTTTGCTTGTCCATAAAAGCATAGATGCTTTTATTATTTATTATTATTATTACTATTTTTTAAGAAGAAACTAGATCTGGTTTCTTCTTAAAAGTAGTCGCGGAAGGGGCAGCCACTACGTCGTCGTCTACCGCATTCAACGCGTTCACCTCTCTGCAAGTAAAAAAGTCCTGTCTCAACCTCAGCCGCACCTGCACCGCGACTATTCAGTAAGTGACCAGGGCTGCCCAGAGGGGGGAGGGAGGCAAAGGGGGCAATTTGCCCCGGGCCCATGGAAACCGCTGGGCGACCCTGTAAGCGACTAGGATATGCTTTAAAAAATATATAATACTAGCGAGTTTGTTTGCCCAAAGGGCAAGCAAACTCTCTATGGTCGCACCTTCGGCACTCCAATGCCCAGATTATTGTAATACTCAGTATTCACTATTATTCATTTATTAATTTATTGTCAAAGTGGCAAAAAACGTATCAAGAGGCATACTCCTAATACGTTTTTTTGCCACTTCCTATGGTTTTTTGCCTGTCAAAATGTGTGCTGAGAGAGAAGGAACTGATGTTTCCATCTCAATAATTACTCCAATTATTTCTTGTGTACCTAGCTTCAAATCTCTTCATAATCTGTCCTGAGGGGTCTTATTTGAAAAATAGGATATGCATTAGCAAGCCAACAGGTACTTCTGCTTCAAGTTTCAACTTTCTTGTGTTCTCTCTTGCATTGGATGAGAAAAGATTCCAGAAAATGCGCCTTTGCAAAAAAGGTGCCCTCAAGAGTTTTACCTAAAAATTAACATTTTAATTGAAATCAATACTGGAAGAACTACATGTCTACCAAGTTTCAGTTTTATCCATTTGCCCATTTTGCTGGTGCAAAAATATATTTTAAAAACCAATGCAGCCAATAGCTGTGCCCTGAGGGTATGCACCACAAAACTTGAATTTTTTCTGAACTCACCAACTCAATTATTGGAGCCCTAAGTTTCAGTTTTCTATTTCTGCCCAATTCGGTAGGACAAAAATATTATTTGAAAATGTCACACTCAAAAATATGCCCTTAGGACATGCATCTGAAGCTTGACATTTTTCTTGACTTCAGAGCCCCAGTAGGCACATCCTTGTCAAGTTTCAGCTTTCCAAGTTTATTCGTTTGACAGAAGCAAAAAATTATTTTTAAAAATCCCCCCATGGAATTTGTGCCCCCAGGGCATTTTCCTCCAAAGTCTGAATTTTTCTGTATTTAGGTTCCCAATAGGTACTTCTGTACCAAGTTTCACCTTTCTATCTCTGCACAATTCGGTAGGACAAGAAAAATTATTTGAAAACGTCACCCCCCAAAAAAATGCCCCCAGGGCATGCATCTGAAAATTGACATTTTCCTGAACTGAGTGTCTCAGTAGGCATGTCCATGCCAAGTTTCAGCTTTCCATGCCTCTCCGTTTGACTGAAGCAAATATATATATTTGAAAACATCACCCCCCCAAAATGGGTGCCCCTGGGTGTGTACCTTCAAAGTCTGAATTTTTATCAACTCTGCATCCCAATAGCTACTTGTGTACCAAATTTCAGATTTATAACTTCTCTAGAACATAGTTAGAATTAGCACCAGTCAGTCACGATCGTCTATATATATTAGAAAAATTATTTAGCTTTAAGAGGAGTAGGCCTATCCTAAAATTAAGGAACCCTCGACCCATGGTATCCAAATGGGTGTTATTACCTCCTGATACCACTATCCAGCTTGGAACCTTGAACCTTGAATTCTACATGGAAAAATAACTGAAGGATCTCGTAAGTTGTAAGCATTCTCAGGGAAATTTGTCTTCCTGCACATTAAAAGGTTTTTGAGAGAAAAAAATAGGAGGCATATCTACAGGATGTCCCAGAAATCCCACCCCAAGTTTTTTACATTATTATATCTTTATTTTTTTCCTGATGGAAATGAGTTTTGAATCATTCGAAAGCCTAAACCTTTCTTAACAACTGCAGTTAAACCTGACAGTGTGTGATTACTGGTTGTGGGGTTTTTTGAAAGAGAGGGGGTATGCTAGAAAACCCCTGACCTCATCAGTGCCATTTTCACCAAACTGAATGCCATGTGCTTGGGCTTTTGCCAAAAAGCTGTGGATGACTTTCCCCGGCAATGCTGTATGTGCCATGATCAGAATGGCAACCAATTTCAGTGGCAAAAAGACTGTATCCCTGCTTTAATCCTGCTTTTAATCCCTGCATCTCAGAAACCCCACCCCAAGTTTGGATGGAGATGAAGACTAAGTGAATGGTGTTGATGAAGTGAGAGATGTTATGGGTTTTGTAACATACACCTTCTCTTTAAAAAAAAACCCACAATCAGTAATCGCACGCTATCAGGTTTAACAGCAGTTGTTAAGAATGATCTAGGCTTTTGAATAATACAAAACTTCGAGCTGGGTTTCTGGGACACCCTGTATTTGAGGGTGACCCTTGCACTTATGGTAGGTCTGAGAAGCATTCTTATGCTTCAATGAGACTGGAAAAAAGACTGGAAATTCAGTAAGTGTTGGTAATTTTCTCTGAAGTGAGGGATCTGACTTAGGTCTCAAAAGTCTTCATTGTTTCTGACCAACCATTAGTGTTAGCATAAGCATTTATAATTCTACTATCATTCCAATTCTAATCACTGCCATCTTCCCCAACAGAGTTGAACTTATCATAGGATCTCTCAGTGACTGTCTTTGCTGATGTATGATATTCCATTCTCTCCCACGCAGATTTGTGTCTCAAAATTCTTGAGCGAAATGACCGTGGGGCCATCATTTCGAGATGACCTAATCCAGGAAATGGTTCGCTATGGAGGGAGTGAATTACATACAGTGGCAGCGTTCGTTGGAGGCTGTGCTGCTCATGAATCCATCAAGCTTCTCACCTGTCAGTATGTCCCACTTGACAACACTCTAATCTACAATGGGTTGACTGGTTCTTGTGCCACTTTCAAGTTCTGACATAACCTCCCCTTTCTGGCACTTTTTTTCCTTTCTACTACTTATGGGGAGAGAGAGAGAAAACTGATGGTGAGAAAATGAAGTAAAAGATCTCATATGTGATGCTTACAGAATATGTTATGCTCTTTGGTGATGGCTTTCTCAGCACTCACCACACTGTAATCTTTCTTCTTTTTAATGATATGCACTTGAGTCCCAAGCACTTGACTTTTTTCCACATCATCCAACCCTTGAAATACTGGTATTCTGATTGTAGTTGCATTATATTTACAAAGGGTAATGTGCAAATCATCATGCCAACCATGTCTTGACATTGCAGTTGACAGAGGACCACTGATGTAATTTCTTGGTGTCATCCTTTGGTCATTCTCTCTGTTTTCCTGCAACTTCAGTCTCCATTCATACTGGTAGATCCAGTTTTGGATTTCAGAAATTTAGTTTGAAAAACAATTTGAACAAAGATAGCATCAAGTACAAAAAATGCAAGACTTCCTAAGGGGGAACAATAGGAGGAATAAGGAAAAGAAGATGGTGAGTTTCAGGGCTCCCAAAGAATCTTAAGGTTTGTTCTGTTTTCTAGGTTGGAAAATGGAAGCATATCCATATGCCAAACTTCCATTAACCAAAACAGGCATCACTGAATGCTTGAAAGTCCAATGAATCAAATGGATGATGCTTGAAATATGGAATAAGTTAGATGAACATTTATTTCGCTGAAGAAAAATCTTTTCATTGAAACCTGATTGTCATTGAAGGGTAAAAACGTTGTAAAAAAAAAAAAATTTGTGTCAACAGCATGGTTCACTCCTTCCTTTAGGCTACTTATAAAAATATTAACTATGGAATCATATGTTCCATAGCACAGTCCAAGAAGAAAATGACGTAGTCATATTTGGGATTGCTGTCTAGTATATATGTTGCATACATTTCAGATGGAAAATCAGAAGAAAGCCCTCTCAAGTGAGGCAAAATATAGTACTACCCATAGGCACTTGAAGAATTTGAGCAATTCTCTTGTTTTTGTTTCTGGTTTTTCTCCCTTGAGTGTGGCCCATATCCAACTTGGGAAATAAAATGCTCTCTTGTCTGCAGTTTTTTGTGGAGCTGTGATAAAAAGGCATAGAAATGCATGTCTTCCACACAATGCTGATGCACAATGTACAGGGTGTGATGAACCCCTTAGACCCCAGACATGATTCTAAAGTGCAACACAAAGTAGTGCTACTTGAACTAATAGCCAAAGCACAGCTGAGCAGGATCATGCAGCCTGACAGCCAAAGTGAAGGAAAAAAACTGGTATTTCTCATCATTGTAAGCCTGTGGCACTGTGAACTTTTTGATTCCCAGACTTTTCAGTGTATGAATCCTTTGAGGATTCATTCACTGAACTGAATACTGAATACTGTCGCATTCACTCAACTGTTCTTTGATGTCATGTCCATTCATTGCCATATGTTTTGATAATTCCATATCAGCCCTTGGGAAATACCTTCTATGAGTGTCCCAACAAGCTTGCCCTAGACTATTTGTAAGTAGCTTGTTCCAGATATTTATTTTTTCAATGATCTTTTGCATTTTCTTTTTTTTAAACTACATTTCAGAGGTAAGCTGTTTAATTTGCATAATGCCACAAATTTTCTACACTGACCCATTTGTAAAGTTCACCATTGAAAGACAGTCTCCTGTAAGTGATATTTGAATACAAACTTGGAGGATGGAGTTCTCGGAACATGCAAAACTAATACCATGCAGTGAAAGCAGTGGCAGATGCAGAAATTGTTCATAGGGGGGACAGCACTTCCCTAGTTCCCCCCCCCCCCCCCCCCCCCACCTACCACCCAGCCCCTCCAATCTACCACCTTTTTCATTTTTCATCTGGGGTAAAATCTGGATATACATTTCACAAGCTCTAACACATGAATTCATACGATTTTTAAATTTAAAAAATAGAATGTAAACCTGGCCATAGGCCCCCCCTCCTCCTGGATCTGACACTGGATGAAAGTAGCAAGAAGAACTTCACCAGAAGTAAACTGGTGCAGTGCACAAGCTCCCAGGCACTGAATGCACCAAGGTGTGATTTACCCAACATTGTGGTGGGCCTCTGCCCTCATTTTCATCATAACTGCTTACCATTCATGCTCCATAATGTTGCTCAGGTACAGATGCTTCTACATTTCTAGCAAGGCATCACAGAGGTTCCCTGAAGCACAAGTTGCACTTTGCATCTACTGTGCAGAAATGCAGGTGCAGCTTCGTCAATCATGTTATTTTATTGCCCAAACATTATGTGACATCACTGACTTGGGATCTTAATTGAGTAAACTTTAGAGAGCAGAATAAAGACTATTATTATTTTGAATTGGTATTCTGAGTCTTGTTTGCATAATACAGTGCATTCAAGTCTCAGTTGTTGTTATGAAAGTTGGATAATGATCTGAGGGAAGTGGTAGTTTTCTTCCACCTCCTGGGATTTGCCCATTTATCGGTGAAACCATTCCAATGATAACTGTACATGTGAATAAAACCAAAGGTATTCTCCAAATATCAGATTGAGTCTACCATGACAAGGAATATTATAAGTTTGCAGTTGGTCAGCATTTCCTGACTGGCAAGATCTAAAGAGCATCTAGGAAATATTGGCTTAGGAAATAACCTCTCTCATTTTCCTTACAGGGTCAAATCACTGACTTAACTCTCTCCTGAGATGCTGAAACCAGAGATCACTGCAGACTCACACCTCTCATATTGACCTCAAGTACTGACCCCAAGCAAATTCAAGACCAGTTGCTTTTGCTTTATGACACCATCGTACACTTAGCCTGAAATAAGTAATCAGGTAGTCTTTTGTGTGGTGGCTTCCTAGTTCAATTTCAAACTGATGTCATTGGCAGTATTCAGAGTGTCTGTCTTGGAAAGAAAACTTTGGCAAATACTTGGAATAATAACTTGGAGAATTTCATGTTTTGTCAAAACTGTCTTTTCTTTTCAATTAAATGTTTCTTGCAAAATAAAGATAGTGTATGCATTTAAATTTGTTTTATGCATCTGAGAGGCGGATCCACTCTCTGAAACAGAAAAGTACCATTACTCTGCCTTGAATGGTTTGCTTGCCAAAGAGGGAGAGAAGCTCCTTAGAATTACCTTGTCCAACTCAAAGAAACATGTATCACCATGCCTCTAAATGGCTGTCTCATTAAAAAGAAGCTCCTACTGTGAATATGAATGCATGCTTTGTTATGCAAGCCTATAACCTGTCAGGTCACTTCACATTTGCAAATGAGATGGTAAGAAAAACACTATCACAGCAAGACTTGTTCTTGCATTCGTGTATATACAGGTTGATTTTAAAATGTTACCACTTTTTTTAGTTGCTTTATTTTCTCATTTCACTGTCTGAATTGAATCGAAATGCATACTAGATTATGTGCATAAAAATGTTGGAAGGTGGCAGCTTGAATGGAAGTCTATGAATTTCCAATAGTTGCCTACTAAATGTATCAAGATTTTTTCAACATGGAACCTGCAGGTTGACATTTAGTCGAATTTATTGTAAGTTTGTCAGAACTAAGTCCATAAGCAATGACTATAAGGTAAAGCAGTCATATTCCAAAGCATCCCAAAGAGTATCCCAAAATATGTGTATGTTAAAGCACTGGGGGAAGCATTTGAACAGATAAAGAAATGCATGGTCTGTGATGGTGGGCAAGTTGAGCATTTGTTGTGGTAACAAGTTTTTTCTGACTCACCCTATATATGTAGGTTCTATATACAGGGTGGCCCAATAAAAACCACACCAAATTTGAAAGACAATAACTTTTGAACAAATGAACCTATTCTCATGTTCAAAACAGGAATTGAAAGGTCTATTAATCCTCTTTCCATCGCCATATCATTTATAAAATTTTCTTCAATGGAACCGGAGCAATTGCAATTTAAGTACAAGTACCCAAAAAAGTGGATGAACAAGGCTGGCTTCTTGTTAACCCTCTCTGTATGGAGCATTCTTTAGCATCCTAAGACGATTTTCCGTTGCATGCCTACAACTGCTGTATCTTTCAAATTTCATCCTATAAAAGTGCATTTAAAAACTTAATTCCAGTCATTTTCATGGTAGCAATTCAAACGATTATTCATTCAAAATCAGTTCCAGTCCTTCTTTGCTAATCGCTGAACTGAAGACCACAGAATGCCTATTTCTTTTTAAATATGCTGCACACTCAAACTGGTGCCTGGTTCTTGGCTGCAAATCAGTGAACCAACAGTCTCAACGTTTTTTTTCTGTATGAGCAGTTTTTGGACGCCCACTGCCCGGACGATGTTTTCCACTTCCATCATCTTGAAGTTTTTTCAGCAAACATGAAAAGGACTGGAATGAACTTCTTGAATGCATTTTTATAGGATGAAATTCGAAAGACACTGCAGTTGCAAGCATGCAATGGAAAATTGCCATAGGATGCCAAAGAATGCTCCATACAGAGAGTTAACAAGAAGCCAGCCTTGTTCATCCACTTTTTTGGGTGCTTGTACTTAAATTGCAATTGTTCTGGTTCCATTGAAGAAAATTTGATAAGTGTTATGGCGATGGAAAGAGGATTAATATACCTTTCAATTCCCATTTCAAACACCAAAGTAGGTTCATTTGTTCAGGTTATTGCTGATCAAAATTGGTGCGGTTTATTTTGGGCCACCCTGTATATGTTTCTTGCACACCTGCATCCAAACATCTATGATGTGAGAGCATTCTGATGGAGCATCCATTTCAATAGATCATGTAACATTGCTTATCTACTTGCTTAGCTTAAGGTGATTCTCTGGAGCTTCTACTTTATAGAGTAGTATCATATTTTCTCTTTGGAATATGTAAAATGCTTTCATTCCTTGTGTACATGTGATTATAATTTTTTAAGTACTTGCATTTTTGCTCAAGCATTTTCATGAGTGATCAGAAGAAAATTCTAGTTTCCATCTTTAAGTTATTTAAATTAAACAAGTTCCCA